CAATTTGCTTCTTATTGATTTTTGTCATAACCATCCTTGCAGATTAGCTCATTACTGACTTTGGGTTGGGGCACTCTCGTGCAGTGTATGGTCCTATGCCCCTTAGCATGATGCCCTGTGAAGCTTAACAAAGGTGCCGTTGAGTGTTTGGCATGGGCAGAGAAGCTGCAATACCTCGTGTATCTTTGTGTGTATACCGTTGTTGATAGAGATGATAGAATGATAAATGATAGATTGACTGGCAGATGAGAGACTGACAGATGTTAGATGACAGACAGACAAGCATGGTGGTAGATTTTGATGACAAATTTGGGTTCTGCAGGTCCAGAGAAGTTGTCAGCTTTCCTTGTCATGCTAGCCATTCATGTCTTAGTCTGCACATCTGCCTATTCCCCACGAAGGTGCTGAGTCAGCTCTCAGTCCTACACATCTGCCTATCCCAGTGAAGGTGCTGAATCAGCTCTTTTGGAGATCGGCTCCTCTCACAGGAACTTTACTGTACTTTATGTTTGACTCTGAAATCCCTTCACTTCTGTGACTTCCTTTTTGTTTCTACCACTCCACAAAGCCCTGAAAGCAGTACCAGGGATGGTGTGTGTGTATGTATGTATGTATATATAGTGAAAGGCCAGCATCCTAACCAAGTTCTCTGCTGCTGAGCACAAAGCACCCCCAAGGCTTTATTTATCATATAGCTCTAACTAAATGTTAAAGCCAAGCACAGACTGTCCCACACACAGCTTTGTTCAATATGTATTTGCTTTGCTAAGTACGTATCTGTTGACCAAATTTTTAAATCCACAAACAAAAATTTACCACACTGTAAAAAACACAAACTCACAGATAAAAATTTACCCAATCATCAATTTCTTTCTTTTTTTTTTTTCAAGACAGGGTTTCTCTGTGACTTTGGAACCTGTCCTGAAACTCACTCTGTAGACCAGGTTGGCCTCGAACTCACAGAAATCCATCTGCCTCTGCCTCCCGAGTGCTGGGATTAAAGGAGTGCGCCACCAACACCAGGCCCAATCATCAATTTCTAAATGCCAATAAAATGGATGCAGGGAAATGCTTCTGAAGCATTTTGAATGTTGTTCAAGTAAGTTGTTAGCTCATTCCAATGTTGTACAGCACAAATATGGCAGTGTGAATCTACCTGCTTTGCTCACCAATAATGGTAACTGTCAGCCAGGAAACCAACAAGGTAATTCATTTTCTCCTCAACTAAGGATACAGGAAGGTCAGCAGGAATGAGAAAGAAACATAAAGAAGAAGGATCTTGATTATTTCCACTTATTGGCAGGCTACAAGTACCTGGTACAAATAAAGGGAGCCCCAAAAAGGGGGTAAAAATTAAAAAGCAACTTAGCTACTTATGTTTGTTAGCTGTGCTGCGTCAGAGAGTGACAAACTTCAGCATGAAAGCACCTGAGTAAAGGTGCGAAAACATGAGGGAGTCCTGAAACCAAAATTCTTATCTAGGACTAACCTTCGTAAAGTTACAACGACTCTGAGCCTCAGTCCCTTCACCCACAAAGTAAAGAGAGCATGGAATTCATACCTTAAATTCCCTTCCAGAACCGTAAGTTACTGCCCAAATGGACAAGCAAGAAAAAGGATAGAGGTTCGACTTAATAAACAATGCCTCCATTTGTTTTTTAATTTTTTCCATTTATGTATTTACTAAGAGAGAGTGCAGGGGTCAGGTCTTCCCTCCCACCAGGGTCAGGAGATAGAATTGGGGTCATCACGCTTGGTGGCAAGTACTGCTACCCACTGAATCATCTCACTGCAGAACACTTCTGTTTTAATACTCATTCTGAAAGCAAACTCATGCCAACACAAAGAATATAATGAGGACTATTTGAACATAATTTAATTATTGCATTTGCTTATGCTTAAGAAATGGTAGGTAAATGCACACCATTGAACCAGCTGTGCAGGGCCACAAAATGCACAAAGCACACAGGAGGTCACCTCGGGCTCCTCGGCTATGGGTGATGAGCCCCTCACTGCTGCGCCTCTGCTCTATGTCAGGATTCACATACCCTTTCACTGCTCCATGGGTGCTGCTATCTCACCAGCACTCCTCAAACTTATGCAAGACAAGTACATGCCTGTTATGGGAGGTATGTACCTTTAAACATTAACAAACATAAAACTGGGCTGCACGTTTATTGGAATCATATATCATATCTCTTTTCTTTCTTTCTTTCTTTCTTTTGTTTTTTTGAGACAGGGTCTCATGTATCCCAGGTTGATCTTCAATGTGCTAGGTAGTCAAGAATGACCATATCCCTCTTGCCTCTACCCAAGACCCACATGGTAAAAGGAGAAAACCAACCCCCAAAAGTTGTCCTCTGACCTCTACATGGGCACATACAAATAGAGAATAAATTAAATAGTGATGTAAAAACATGTAAATGCAAACAAATGCACCACTAGTTGCCATGCTCTACAAAGACATACAGAATAGTGTTGTGTTGCTGTATGAACCGTGACTCTACCAAAAGGTACAGGCTTGAGTGAAGGAATGTGTGTGATTCCATAAATTAGGTGAAACAGTTTGGCTGTTACAGTCAGAATTCTGGCACTGTTTCTTAAATAATTAAACATGACTAAAATCTTTAAAAGAGAATTGATATTTTTGTTTCTACCTAAATGAATACATATACATACATATGTTCATTATGTGCATGTGTGTGCGCGCGCGCGCGTGTGTGTGTGTGTGTGTGTGTGTGTGTGTGTGTGTATAGTGAAAGGGCCAGCAAAGATTGCTCAGCAGCAAAGTTCTTGCTGTATAAGCTTGACAACATGGGCTCAAGTGCCAGAACCCATGTAAAGGTAGGCGAGGACTAACTGCACAAAGTTCTCTGACCTCCACACATTCCATGGTATACAATAATAATTCAAAAAAAAAAAAAAAAAGCTTGAGAGGGTAAAAGAAAAAAACAAAAATAGTGACAGTGATGGTATCTGAGCAATGAAGCGATTTTTGTTGTTGTTGCTGGCCACTGCTATCATTATTCCACACAATGAATGTGCATTGCTTTTACTGTCAGAGGAAAGCAAATCTCTCTTTAAATGTAGCTACCTCCAAGTGATGAATCTCTAGTCCCAGTGCATACAGAATTAATAATAAGTTGCCGGGCGTTGGTGGCACACGCCTTTAATCCCAGCACTCGGGAGGCAGAGGCAGGCGGATCTCTGTGAGTTCGAGGCCAGCCTGGTCTACGAAGTGAGTTCCCGGACAGCCTCCAAAACAATACAGAGAAACCCTGTCTCAAAAAACCAAAAAAAAAAAAAAAGCCATTAAATGTTCCTGCAGATTTCCAAAGGTCCAAAGAGAGCAGCCTGGCTTTGAAAGGCACCTTCCCCACCACACAAGAAAACCCACTGAAGGGTGCAGATGGGTTCAGCCAGTATTTTGTGACTCCCACTGGCACTACAAAAAAATCCCCCCCTCTGGAGTAAAGCTAGAGTCACCTAATCAAATGCAGCAATGTCTGAGAGCATGAAAACATGATCTAACCAGAGACAACTACTATAAATTTTATATCCAGTTTTCTCTCAACATTATTACCCTAATCATGAAGATTATCTAGGTCCCTAATCCATTCCCCAATCATCCAAAGTTTCATTTCTCATGGTTCTAATAACCTTCACTGACAGAATATTCCAGAAACAAATAATTCATAAAGTGTTCAACTGCATGCTAAGTATCATGATAAAGTCTATCATGATGAAACGTCACAATCCCACCTTATTCTATCATCTTTATCATTTATCTTATCACTTTAATTTTTAATTATATATTTATTCAGCAGACACCCACAGCTAAACACTGAACTGAACTCCTGGAATTCAGTTGCAGAGAGAGAGAAGTGATGAGCAAAGGTATCAAGACCAGGCTGGTGAAACCCATGGAAACAGCTGACCTGAACAAGGTGGGGCTCATGAACCCCACACTGATAGCTGGGAAACCAGCACAGGACTGATCCAGACCCCTGAACGTGGGTGTCAGTGAGGAGGCCTCAGCAATCTGTTGGGCCTCTGTAGTAGATCAGTATTTATCCCTAGTAAACAATGGACTTTAGGAACCCTCTCTACACAGAGGGATACTCTCTCAGCCTAGACACTCGGGGGAGGGCCTAGGCCCTGCTCCAAATGATATGACAGACTTCAAAGATCCCCCATGGAAGGCCTCACCCTCACTGGGAAGCAGAAAGGGGATAGGATAGGGGGCTAGTGGGTAGCAGGGGAAGAGGGGAGGGAGAAGGAACTGGGATTGACATGTGAAACAAGCTTGTTTCTAATTTAAATTTTAAAAATATGAAAAAATTATATATTCATTCATTCATTCATTTATGTGCATGTCAAGGGGGTGTACAGACTCACACAGGCACCACCTTATGGAAGTTGGAGGGCAACACCAGGGAGCCATCTCGAAGGCCAGCTCTCCCCCTTTTTTAGCCAGAGATCCTACCAGTATCAAATGTCAAATGCTTTCTCTCAAAAGAGTCAAATAAAATTCACATGACTCCAGAGTTTGTGAAGGCAAGTATATAGAAGATCGTGGCACTGCCAGGGATTGCTCCATGGGACTTACTATGACACAGCCTTTCTGGGTGTTCCTATGCTAAAAGCAAAAGCTAGGTGAAAGGTAACCTGGTCACTTTGAAGCTCCCCACCAAGTATTTCACTAGACCAAGGAATGACATGAGTTTCAATGTACTCAGAAAGACAGCTCAAGGTCTCTCAGACAAATTCAGCCTGCTCAGAACTTTGTAAGTTGAATGAATTATATGCTTTACATAAAAAATTAAGCAAGATGCTGAAAGAAATTATACCATTCACTCCTACCACACACGCATTATCTTTTACTCTCAAGGAATCGCTTTCTGAGATGCTCAATTGGTCAGTGCCCCAATGTAACATGCCTAGAGATCTGGGGTGACTTTTTGTCTAAGCGGAGACAAGAGAAGATTGGCAGCCCTTACATATCTGGAAGGCTCCTCTTGGTTCTGGTCATTCATGTGATCAGGAACAATCCGAGTGGCCAGTGGTCCCTCTGCAAAAGGCTTTGGTAACTGACCTCTGAACTCCGATGGAATGAATTGAAGCTGCCAGCTGTCAGAAACACAAATGAGAAGAATGAGAAAAACATAGAGCGATCATATTGCTAAATAGACTTGAAACCAACAACCCTTCACCCCAGATCACAAGGAAAACATTTCACTTGAACAAAACATGATTTCTGTTAAAACTTCAACCAGGGAGCAGAGGCAGAGGTCACAAGATGGTCTGAAATCATCAAGAAATTTATAACTAAAGGTCTCTCAGTTCCTTTACTCAGGTCTTGGCTTCAAAACTTCCAACTAGACAGTCAGCCACAGAACAAGGAGAGTGTCAACATGTTACTACCTCCCACAGGAACTAAAGCAGTAAAGCCAACTCATCAGGAGTACAGAAAAAGATGCAAATGCACTAACACTAGGAGAATATTATTTTAGTCTGAATAATCCTCATATAAAAGGCAAAGGCTTGAGTCAACATTTAAAAGACAAGTTTTTGACTGATATAAAAATTTTCATTATGTAAAAAAAACAAAACAAGAAAACCTATTTTACCAGGTGAGGAGCTCCCGAAGTCAACAACAATAAATACTCATCTTGGCCAGACTTCTTTTTTCACTTAAAACAGACCAAATTAAAAAACACACAAGGCCAGGGTACTATGTTACTACAGAATACAAAGAATACGGGTACATCTCAGTCATAGTTCTCCCTACTGCCTCTATATCAATGTGAAAATTTATTGTTGAATAGAAAAATCTCCTTTCTAAACCCATTCTTCTTGCCAGGGTATCTACACCACTGTTAGAGGTGTTTTAGTGTCAACTGCAGAGTGGTAAGTATGTGCCCCTCAAGAAGGGCCTGGACAATGTACTTGCTATGTAAACATGAGGACCTGTGCTTGGAACTCCAGCATCCAAATAAAAGCTGGGTATGTAACCTCAGCACAGCACAGAGGAGACAACCAGGAAGATTCTGGAGGGCTTGCTAGTTGGAACCCTGAGCTCTGGGGATAGCAAGGAAAGAGACCCTGTCTCAAAAAAGTGGAGCTGGGCATAGTGGCACCCATCCTTAATCCTAGGACTCAGAGGCAGAGACAGGTGGATCTCTGTGAGTTAGAGGCCAGCTTGGTCTATGTAGCCCTGACTACATAGTGAGACCTTGGCTCAAAAGCAAAAATAAAACAAATGAGGCAAAGAGCAATAGATGATACATGACATCAACCTCTAGCTTCTGCACATAAACATACAAGAGTGTGAGTGAGCACACGCACACACACACACACACACACACACACACACAAGCTGCTAGCAGAAGTCTAGGGTCAAACCATTTTCACAAAGCCTTACACAGCTGTGACTAGAAGTGCAAAGCACATAACTAGACAGACCTGTTCATGAAAAAAGAGGCAGGCACACAATGCAGATTCTGCAGTACTCAAGGAAGATAAACTATTCAGTAATTTCTGCAAAAACTCCAAAGCAGAACAGAAAGACAGTCCAGTTGGTTAGAATCTGAGTTCAATCCCCAGAACCCACGTGAAAAAGCCAGGTGTGGTAAGGTTTATAGTGCAAATGCTGGGGAGGCAGAAACAGGAAGATCCCAGGGGCTTGCTAGTTGGCCAGCTAGTCAATCAGCCTAGCCTAACTAGCAAGTCCTGGGTCATGAGAGACCCTGTTGAGGGAGGGTGGACATGCCTGAGGAATGACACCCAAAGCTGACCTCTGGTCTCCACACACATTTACACATAGGTGCATGTGTCCCAAATATACACACATATACATACACCTCCAAAGAAAAAAAGTTAAACCCACCAAAACAAATAAACCCTAACATAATCTTGCCATAGAATTGCTACTGTTTGATATAAATTTCTGGGAAATGGGACTCAAGAGATAGCTCAAAAGTAAAGAGCATTTGCTGTTCCTGCAGAGAACCCGAGTTCAGTTCCCAGCACCAACACAGAAGCAAATTACTGCCTTTAACTCCAGTTTCAGAGGATCTGATGCTCTATTTTGGCCTAGTTGGGTGCAGTCCATGCATGTGGTACACATAAACGCATGCAAGCAAAATACTCATGCATGCAAGAAATAAAAATAAGTAAATCTTTAAAAATAAATGAATAAAATGCTGAGAATTAGGTACTGGAGATATGGGTTAGTGGTTAAGAATGCAATGTGTGCAAGTCTGAGGGCCAGAGTTCAGACCCAGCACCCACATTAACACACCAGGTATCCTATGCACATCTGTAACCTCAGCACTGGGGCAGCAGAGACAGGAGGACCCCACTGGGGCTTGCTGAGTGGGACCCAGGCAAGCTGGAAAGAAAAAAAAAAAAAAAAAAGGAGGCAGCAAGCTCCAGGTACAGGGAGAGACTCTACCTCAAAGGAACAGGCAGAGAGTGATACAAGAGGACACTCTATGGTCACCTCTGACATTTTTGTACACACACACACACACACACACACACACACACACACACACACACACACGCATGTGCGCGCTTGTGCATATATCACCAACCCCGTATATACCCTCCACACATACAGAAATACTATGAATTAAAAGACAACTTACTTATCAGGCAGAAGAAAGCTACTGGGAAATCGATACCATTCTTTTCCCACACAAACATTCACAGGCCTGCCTTCTGGGACAGTGTGGATGGTTGGGTCTGTGGCAATTCGGTAAAATTCTGGATACAAATCAAGGGGCCCATGATATCCTAAAAAGGGAGAAGAGTTCATAAAAGCCGAAGATGAGGCTCTAGCTTTTAATTATAATCCATTAATATCCCACTATAAGCCACATGAACTTATAAGACTGTGAAAGCACTCAGCAGCTCAGTGGGAAGCTTGCTCTACCAGCAGGTTCTCTCTTGGTAGGACAACCACCACAGTGGAGGCCTTATGTGCCAAATGTAACCTGCTTTCTTATTCTTTGTATGCCATTTTACCCTCTAAATTTTCTATTCTTTGGGTATATTTTACTATTATGACACCTATAATGGTTATTAGGAAATATTTAACCATGAGAACTTAGATCCAATTTGCATAATTTGCATAACATATTTAGGCTTCATTACATTAGTAGCAGTCATTAAAAAGAAGGGGAAAGAGGCTGGAGAGATGGCTCGGCAGTTAAAAGCACTGGCTACTCTTCCAGAGATCCCAGATTCGATTCCCAGCAACTACATGGCAGCTCACAATTGTCTGTAATCCCAGTTCCAGAGAATTCAATGTCCTCTTCTTGTCCCCACAGGCATCAGATATCCATGTGGTACCTATACATTCTGACAAAATATCTATACACATAAAATTTTTTAACTGAAAGGGGAGGAAATCAATGCTATTGGAGGGAGAAATGTGTAATAACATGAAGATCTAGCAATCTCCTTTCACCCACACCCCCACCCAACATAAGCCAACCACATGCTACAAGTAAACCTTAAGGTGAAGTTCTTTGTGAGTGTGGGTTAAGACACTCTCAGCATGTCTACCTCTGAACAGAGCCACAGAGCGAGAGAATGACAAGAGCCCAAACAGGAAGACTGTTCCTAATGCCAGCCAGCTGGACGTCACAGTGTAATGCTCCAGGCGATATCGTTGAAACACAAAGTGATAACATTTCTAGAAGGTAAGGGAACCGTATTGATAAAAAAGAAACAATGTACATAGCCATACTCCATCACAGAAACAATATACATAGCCACACTCCACCACAGAAACAATATGCATAGCCACACTCCACCACAGAAACAATATGCATAGCCACACTCCACCACAGAAACAATGTGCATAGCCACAAGCCATCAAGGAAACACTGGGGATGCAGAAGCAGAACGAGGGATGTAAGGAAGGGTATGAGCATGTGGACACACTTGGTGTGGTACCCATTCCAAATTCAAAGACCAAACTCAACTCTCCTACTGCTGTCTGCAGGTCTGTTCAGCCAGCCAACTTTACAAGAATGAACTCTAGTGTCAGAGGAAAATAATGTGCATATTTTTGCTGGTGCATAAAGTTCTCATGTTTTTTCCTTTTTGGTTTTTCAAGACAGGATTTTACTCTGCATCCCTCAGTAGTTTGCAATCTTCTTGCTTCTACCCCCCAAGTATAGGACTATAGATGTGAGCCCCAACACTATTAACTTATTTTGAAATATCTGAATAAAATCAGTATTTTAGATATGACAATATTATGATAAAAGTTAAAATGATAAAGTTATAGGCATGCCTATTATAGTCATAATATACTTGATATGTGATTATGATGCAAAAGTATAAGATGTCTTGATAGAAGATAAAATGTTTTCAGTATTTTCTAAATTATCTAACATGAAGTTATACTTTTAAAAATAATCCTTTAAAACTATCAGTCTGGTGGGCACTGTGGCACACACCATTAATCCGAGAACTAGGGAGGTAGAGGCAGATGGATCTCTGCGAATCCAAAGTCAATCTGGTCTATATACCAAGACTACACAGTGAGACCCCCATCTCAAAAGAAAATTTATATAAATTTTATACATATATAGATATACACACATGTAATATGCAATATATAACCATATAATACACATTATATATATTTACTATATGTCACCCTAACAAAGACAAACCTTAAACATTATGCCATGTGAAAGATGTCAGTAATAAAAGACTTTTATTCAGCACTCGGGAGGCAGAGGCAGGTGGATCTTTGTGAGTTTGAGACCAGCCTGGTCTACAGAGCTAGTTCCAGGATAGCCTCCAAGACAATACAGAGAAACCCTGTCTTGAAAAACCAAAAAAAAAAAAAAAAAAAAAAGACTTCTATTTTAAGATGTCGCTCACATGGGAGGTACAGAATAGACAAATTTATATACAAAGGAGATTAGTGAGAGTGTACTGAGAAATACCATGACAAAGGATTGGGAGGGTGATAGGTAAAGAGCATGGGGCTTTTGAGGTGATAAAAATGTCCTAAACTGTTGGCTGTGGACATCTGCAAATATGCTAAAGTCACTAAGTTAAACACTTGAAAAAGCTGAACTCATAGTTTGAGTTCTCACTTAATAAATCTGTTAAAAACAAAAAACTATCACCTTATTTTTTTCTTTCCCTGACAATTGCAAATGGTAGCAAGAGCAAGAGAGGGCCTCAAACTGTTGAGATCACAAACACAGAGATAATCAAACAAATGTAAGATTAACTCTGCAGAAGAATTGGCCTGGACGAGCTTTAAATCAGGATTTTAAACTGTCCCACATTGCCATTTGTCTGATATAGTCCCAAAGTCTTCATCTATCAGTCATAGCACACACATGCTGGTTAGTCTGCCCCAGTGCCACTGTATGTAGTGGCGTATATGATAAGTTAAAGTGTGTTAGGAAACGGATCCTGTTGACAGGAGACAAATGAACATCCTTATCAATACACAAAGCTTTCAGGGTATGTTCTGTAGCAGGTTTTGTGTTGTGGCTAGAGGTGCACTCTGAAATTTATCTATAAGGGGTTTGCTGTTGCTGCTATTGATTGAGACAGGATCGCACTGAGCAGTGCTGGCTGGCCTGGGGCTCACTATGGAGACCAGCTGGCCTGGAGCTCACAGACATCTACCTGCCCTTAAAGTTTTATAAGCATTCGTGTAATAAATAAACAAACCAAAAAGAGGCAGACAAACGTTTCCCTGAAACTCACCTGAAGTGCAGAAAGAGCAACAGCTCCACAGAGACATATAAGTGGATATACTGGGAAAAGAAATCGTTCCTCTTTGTGAGGTTGGATGAAGAAAATTATAAACCAAATATACATTGGTGCCAAGGTAAGCCAATATGGATGTCCTAAATTCTGAACTGCAAGACAAAATAACATTCCTCTGTTGTCATATGAGAACCAAACAATATATTTTATTTCAAAGGATTTTTTATTTAAATTTGATACTATGCGGATATCTCATAAAATGTCTCAACTTAGGAATTTACCCTCATTCTAACATAATGTAGACACCAAAAAGAAAGGAACATACTCTTGAGTTCTTCCATGAGATCCAAAGCTTAGAGGGAGGTACAATAGTTAAAACACAAGGGAAAATACAGTTAATGGATAACAGAGCTTAATAAATTCGAGCTGGGTAAAGATAAAAAGCGTATTCTCTGTAATGTGTCCTGCCACTAAAAATAAAGATCCCCCAAATTAGCCAAATCCACTTTGAGTAATCCTTTTATCCACCCAACAGTGGGTTTGTTAAAACAGGCATAGATAAGAAAGAAAGCTCAGTTCAGCTCTTGAACCCTATTCATCAAGCCCAATCCAGCGCTCGCTACGTTTTGTTCTGTTGTTCACACTGGCGTCTAATGCCTCACTCTGAATGCTGGGGTTACAGGAGTGTGTGTCACCATGCTCAGCTGACAGGGCTTCAAAGCAAACATAAAATACTCCAAAAAGAAGCTTCCTGGTTACCTTTTCTCTCTTTATAACCCACGTCTACTCTGAATCACAAAATGTACTTAAAGAATTTGAAAGAACGAAGGGAGCACAGAGAGCACAGCCCCAGGCACCTGCTGGAGAGTTCCTGCCATTACAAGAGCACTGAGAAAAAGGCAGCCATGCAGGCTTGGCATTATTGACAATGAGGGAGGTACATACAAAATGCTGACAAGAGGTGGACAGCAGCACCCTCTGGTGTTCATTATGTCTACAGTGTGACAGCAAGAGCCCCAGCTGTCTGATTTAGCTTGCTACACCATTGGTGCAACTACAGAACTCTTTGGAAGTGAGTACTCCTACCCTTGGGCCAATGAGATAGCTCAGTGGGTAATAAGATTTTCCCTGCCATATAAACTTGACAACCTGAGTTCAATCCCCAGATCCCACAATGGAGAACTGCCCCCTAAAAGTTTTCCTCTGGCGTCCACAAAGCATACCCCCCCCCACAAATCATTTCTAATTATTTAAATGAGTGAAGACTCCCTCACTGTCTAGACAATACACGCTGTATAAACCATTAACAAGAAAAGCTGAATGGGTGAGAAGGAAGATCAATCATATGGCATGCAAATCCAACTGAGATGTCTCGAGCTAAATTTTTCCAAATCTCTCATGAATTTCTGCCCATCCATAGTGCAGGCACCAGATACAGCCAGCTCACAGGGTCAGAGCAAGCAACAGGAGTACCACACAGCAGAGGGAGCCCAGAGCAAATCCAAAGCAGCTAAGCAGTTTCAGAGTGCTTGCTTGCAGTAGGGATTACTGTAAACAGTCGCCAAGACGCCTCGACAAGGGGGATGGTGCAAACAGGTTGCTCTCCTGAGCTTTTTCAAATGTCTCTGCTTTCCCCATGATGGTAAAAATCACCCCAACCTCCTTCCCTTCCTGGTTCTCAACCTTCCTGACGCTGTGACCCTTTAATACAGTTCCTCATGTCGTGGTGACTCCCAACCATAAAATTATTTCATTGCTATTTCACAATTGTAAATTTGCTACTGTTAGGGATCATAATGTAAGTATCTGATAGTCCACCCCAAGGGATTGAGACCCACAAGTTGAGAACTACTGCCTTAAAAGGATACAAAGCTCCATCTTGCTCAATTAAAACAATTAACCGAACCTTAACCTGGGTTTAAATGACCTACAAATACAGACTAAAATCTCAGTTATTCAACCATTTCTATAGAGAAAATGGAGACGAAGCAGTTTTTCCACTTAACTATTTAACCTGTTACTTGCTTTCTTTTCCCTCAAACCTACCACATCTTAAACCACTCACCGTGGAATCTCTGCAGCAGGTACTCCATGAGAAATGTCAGTGGCAAGACCAGAAGAGCCAAAGCAAAGGCAACATTGAAATTCAGAAATCCATTGATTAAGTAGAAATACCATGGTTCTGTACCTGAGGGAGACAAGAAACAGGAAATCATTAGTGATGCCTTCAACACCTGTTAGAGCATTTGACCCTTCTGTCTTCTGCTCAAGAAACACTGCAATCCAACACTCAACTAAATGCAAACCCACAGCTTATGCTTCCTTAGTGCTCGGCCACACACAGAAGCACAGAGCAGACAGAGCAGAAGATAGGAAACAGACAGTTCAAGATGCTTCGGATGGGAATTACTGGGTTTTAATTATTTCCATTTATTCCTATCAGTAGAGTCCATCTTCTCTACCATAGAAGATGCAGAATTCCTCTCCTCTAGAGGATGTAGTAGTCATTTTGTGCGACTGCAGAAGCACAGGTTCAGCCCTCACCAGGCACTCATCCTGCAAGAGCTTTGATACTGAACTCCTAGCCTCCAGGAGAAAGACATTTCTGTTCTTCATAAATTACCCCATCTTAAGTATTCTGTTAAGACAGCACCAACAAACTCAAACAGAAATTTACTGTACCTTCTCCAAATGCCATGCTCAGATGAGACAAACACTTTTGTTAGTATTAGTAGCCTAGGAGCAGAGCACACGAAGCTAAAAAAAATCCTAAAACACCACTTGAATTTAACTGCAGTTGAAATACTCTGCAAACCAACAACAGATAAACTTGCTTGGAGCTATGCAGTCCATTGAAAAGATTAACTCCTATTTTATAGTCACACACATAGGTACCATGCATTTCATAAAAAGGTGGTAACCCAGGACTGGGGCTAGGGATATAGTTGAGTGGTAGGGCACTTGTCTGTATGCATGAAGCTCTGGGTTCAGTCTTCAGTAGAGCCAGATACACACACACACACACACACACACACACACACACACACACACACACACACACACACACAGAGTGTATGTATGTGTAACCTAACTGTATATTTTAATAAAAAACAAAAGCTTAGCATGATTGTTTATGTGATTTTTATGTGTATGTATGTGTGCTCCCCTCCCCCATTATGATCAGAGACCCGGGTCTTGCTCAGAAGTCAAAGGATTCAGAATGAAGCAAAATGGCTGAAACACAAGTCTCACTCACACTAGTTTTTATTCTATAACTCAAGATCCTTAAACCTGAAGATAAGACATAGTTCCCCTCCCTGCACATTTAAACATTTTCTCATCTGCTTTTCCCTCTGTATGATTACCTCAATCAGGCAGTGAATGACACATACAGGTTTTAATCAGTGTGTGTTGTGACATACGCCTTGCACCATAGCAATTTCTAGCAATCAGCATTGCTGAAAGGGTAATCAGGAGGCAGAGGAAGAGTCAGAAAAACCTGATTCTTTTGTAGCTTGCACAGCAAAATGAAGCTAGAGACTAAAGTCATAGTGCTAGCGACACTTAGAGGAACAAGACAGAAGTGGGTCCACGAAGGAAGCGCCCAAGTTCACTTGGTGTCACCTCTAGGAAAAGAGCATTCCTATTCAAAGACCACTAAATCGTCAGTGACAGAAGTCCTGTCGCAAGCCACTCATTCAGGATATCTTTAATCTTTCATTCCCCCCCCCATTTAATCTTGAAGTTGTAGAAAACCTCTGGATGGTTATATTTTCAAGATAGAAAATGTTTTCTCTGGATATCAATTAGTGACTTCAGCTAGTAACTTCACAGCATCAAAGCATCCACAATGCTGGTCCCCAAGACTGAGCCAACTGACAGTCAACAAACATTTAAAGTGATTTATATGTATTATTGTTATTTTGTATCAAGAAAAATTCCCAGTCAGCATTCTATCAGGTTCAACAAAAGCAATTCTTGCCGGGCGGTGGTGGCGCACGCCTTTAATCCCAGCACTCGGGAGGCAGAGGCAGGCGGATCTCTGTGAGTTCGAGGCTAGGCTGGACCGACAGCTTCCAAAACAATACAGAGAAACCCTGTCTCGTAAAAACAAAAAACAAAACAAAACAAAAAAAAAGAAATTCTAAGACCTAACAGTAATGAGGGTTCGAACTGATAATCTAGAAATCAATCATTCATTTCTTCTTGACAACTTCTTATTGTAAACCTACAATGTACAATGATCTAACTCAAAGCTATGATAGTATTCTCTCTGCAGAAGGCATCCAAACAATGAGAAGCTAACACTCCTAAAGAATGGAAATCCGCTCAGTCCTCACCTCCAGGAAAAACAACAAAAACTCTGAAAGTCAAGAAAGGAAATAAGACTTTCAAATAATTTGTCACCATCTGTGGTGGTGCACTGCTGGAGGCAGGAGGATTACAAGTTCAAGGCCAGTCTGGGTTACAGAGTGAGTTCCAGGACAGCTAGGACTACACAGAGAAACCTGAAATGGAAGACAAAAAATAATTGTCAAGTTCAAAATCTTATCAGAGTAGAATTTGTGTTCTTGGGCTACTTCTGTCGGGGAATTCTTAGGGCCAGCTACCTACAACACTACACAATCACTTTCATGGCTGGTGAGACAATCCCCACAAAGCTTTTGCCACTACTCAGAGAGAGTAACCAATGCTCTACATCCAAAATAGCAAAACTAAATTGAGTAAAATTAAAGCAGATTTACAAAGTGACAGAAAACTCTAAGGACTCTTCTCAGCACACAGTATGTAAAGTGAACAGCAGACACCAACATCCAAAGCAAGACTGGATACAACTCTACTTCATCCCCAAGCCCACTGCTGCAGGGTTCCTTGACCAAGCCACTATTGACCAGGACCATCAGAGCAGGCCTTTCCTCTCCACTTCTGCTACCAGCCTGATTATCTCTACAGCCTCTAAAGGGCTACAAAAATGCATCAGCTTCATATATTCTTCAAAAAGTTTAATAAGCAGTCAGACTACCCAACACATAATGGCCTATTTATGGAAGTGGAGAAGCCAGTTTTTTTTTTTCAGTTTTTCCAAATTAACCCATTCACCTATAAAGAATGGATAAATTTCCAATTGGGTACATGTAAATCAATTTTCACCACAAAGTCTGTACTGTAGTGAAATGAAATCCTACAAATAAACCAAACTAAAGGGCAATTTAAAACATGCGAACTTTTCCTAGCTGAAGGGAGACATCTAGAGGCTCCCAAAGCAAGCTACTGGTTTAACTGGCTAAGCTGCCAAACAAATACTGGACATGGATGCTGACTTGGACAAAGAATAATATCAACCTGATTCCCAGCAAAGCTAAGACACTCAAATATAGAGAATGCCCTGGAGACACCTAGATGATTGAAAAAGAAACTACACTAATTCCAAGTGGGAAATTTTCTCATCAAGTATTTACTGGCTGCGCTGATCTAGAAAAACCTCTGACACATCCTTCTGGAACTAACCAGCTCAAATGCATTCAGGGGTCAAATAAAACTAAGTGGAGTGAGTGGGTAAGAGAGGGAGGTACCCAGGTACCTGAGAGGAATTACAGGCATTCAGTTTCTCTTAATCTTAAAGTGGCAAATCTACTCATTCTCTCCTGCTGACTCTAGTCTCATGTGCTCTCTTTGTAGATCTTCCAAACTTTCTTCCCTAAAAAAACAAAACCAAAAAAAACCTTAACATTAAATGTGTAAATATATAAAACACATGTAGGAATATACTCCTAAAAGTTAACACTACTACATGGAGATGATGGGGCTATGTATTTATTCTCTTTTTATTATTATATTCATCTTCTGATAATAGAAGTTTGAGTTGTTGTTATTGTTGTTGGTTTGTATTTGTTTTGTTGTTGTTGTTTGTTTTTGAGATTTGTAAAAACCACAGCCCTGGCTGTCCTGGAACTCACTCTGTAGACCAAGTTGGCCTCAAACTCACAGAGATCTGTCTGTCTCTGCCTCTGCCTCCCAAGTGCTGGGATTAAAGGCATGTGCCACCACATCTGGCAATTGTTTAAGATGGGGGGGTCTCATGTAGCCCAACTTGGTCTCAAACTTGCTATGTAGCTAGCCTCCAACTGCTACTCCTGCCTCCACCTCCCAATACTGGAATTATAGTCACGCACAACCTCAAAAGTAGTTTATGATTAAAAAACTTAAAAACATCAAAATCATAACATAAGACAGGCATGGATGGTCAAGCCTGTAGTTCACTTAGGAGGCTGAGTCAGGAGGATCACTACAAGTGTGAGGCTAGGTTTGACTACAAAGTGACACCATGCATAACACTCCTTTAAAAAGCTCTCTAAGTCTGGATCTGGGGATAATGTTCAACAGCACGGAGGGTCAGTGCTGACCACTCCAGTCAAGGAGACACAGGGCTATGTTATCACTGCACTACAGTCAAAAGTCATGTGTTAGGTAGAAAACAACACAGCACAAAATGTCACATTTGGTCAGCACATGCTATTATTCCAGTACTAGAATGGAGGAGGAGGATCCAGAGTTCAAGGCCGAGCTTCAGGTGAACTTGGGTCCTCCTGGGACCCTCCCCTGCCCATCACCCACTCCCTAAATCTTCTGGGGGCCAGCTCCTTGCATCGAGAGGACCCACCCACACAGGAAAGCTGTCAGTCCTTCCAGACCCCATCCTTGGTGGTGCACTCAGCTTCAGGTGAGCTTGGGTCCTCCTGGGACCCCTTCCCCGCCCATCACTTGCTCCCTCAATCTTCCGGGGGAGCTGCTGCTGGCATCCAGAAGACCTGCCCACACAGGAAAGACGTCAGTCCTCCCAGACCCAACCCACAGCTCTCCCCACACCTGCACACCCAGCTCCAGGTGACCTTGGGTCCTCCTGGGACCACTTCCCTGACCACCACCAACTCCCTCAATCTTCCAGGGGCTGCTCCTGGCATCGAGAGTACCCGCCCACACAGGAAAGACTTAAGCCCTTTTAGACCCCACCCCCGGCATGCCCAGCCTCAGGAAAGAAGGAGAGCAGTGGACAAAGAGAGACCCCACCTGCACCCACTGGAAGAAGAGATAGGAAGAAGACAGTATAAGAACACACTCAGCAAAAGAAAGACCAATATGACTCACCAGAATCTAGAGACCCCACACCAGTAAGACCTGAAAAGCACA